GAGTCCCACATCGGGCTCCCTGCTCAGCAGGGAGTCTGCTTCTCCCTCTGGCCCTCTTCCCTCTTGTGCTCTCTATCTCTCATTCTCTCTCTCTCAAATAAATAAATAAAAAATCTTTAAAAAAAATGCAGACGTTGGGGCGCCTGGGTGGCTCAAGTGGTTAGGCATCTGCCTTCAGCTTGGGTCATGATCCTGGAGTCTTGGGATTGATCCCCACATCAGTTTCCCTGCTCAGTGGGGAGCCTGCTTCTCCCTCTCCTCCCTGATCCTGTTCTCTCTCATTATCTCTGTCTTTCTCTCTCAAATAAATAAAATAAAAATGCAGACCTCCATGGGACTCCTGGGTGGCTCAGCCAGTTAAGCGGCTGCCTTCAGCTCAGGTCATGATCCTAAGGTCCTGGGATCCGGTCCACATTGGGCTCCTTGCTCAGCAAGGAGCCTGCTTCTCCCTCTGCCTGCAGCTCCCCCTGCTTGTGCTCTCTCTCTCTCTCTGTCTGACAGATAAATAAAATCTTTTAAAGAAATGTAGACCTCCAGGAATTTAGCCCAAGGTATAGTCAGAAGTGTCTGCAAACATTTATATGTAAAAACAATCTACTGCAGATTGATCTATTACAGCAAAAATTGGTAATTTAAATGTCAAAGGAAGGAAAACAATAACTATATAAATACTGGGGTCCACATAATAGAATACTCAGCAGCCATTAAAAAGAATGAGCTGGATCTATATGTATTGATTGCAAGATATCCTAACTTACGTTAGGTGAAAAAAGAAAGCCACAGCTCCATATTATTTGTTGTTAAAAAATAGTTATATTTACAAATGCACAGGAAAAAGTCTGAAAGAATATAAACCAAACTGGTGGGCGCCTAGCTGGCTCCATCAGTTAAACGTCTGCCTTTGGCTCAGGTCATGATCCCAGGGTCCTGGGATCGTGTCCCACGTTCGGGCCCCTGTTCAGTGGGGAGTCTGCTTCTCCCTCTCCCTCTCCTTCTCCCCCTGCTCGTGCTCTCTCTCTCTCTTGCAGTCTCTCTCTCAAATAAATAAAATATTTAAAAACAAACAAACAAACCAAACTGTAAACAATGTGTAGGTCACCTCAACAGAAAGGCAATGGCAAAGGTTGGGGGATGGAGACTTCCAATTTTGCTTTTTATTTATCTATTTTTTACAGATTAATTCATTTATTTTAGAGAGAGAGAGCATGGGAGTGTGCCAGCTGAGGGAGGGGCAGAGGGAGAGGAAAAATCTCTAGCAGACTCCACGCTGAGCGTAGAGCCCAACACAGGGCTTGATCCCCTGAGATCATGACCTGAGCCAAAATCAAAGAGTTGTAAACTCAACTGACAGAGCCACCCAGGCGCCCCCATTTTTACCTTTTACATTTTTTTAAAGATTTTTTTTATTTATTTGAGAGAGAGAGAGCATACATGAGCAAGGGGAGGGGCAGAGGGAGAAGGAGAAGCAGACTCCCCGCTCAGCAGGGAGCCTGACACAGGGCTTGATATCAGGACCCTGAGACCATGATCTAACCCCAGGCTCCCCTACCTTTTACATTCCTGTATTACTTTACTTTTTCAAAACAAAGTACACAATAATTTTATATAATGAAAAACTAGTAGGGGCGCCTGGGTAGCTCAGTGGGTTAAGCATATGCCTTCAGTTCAGGTCATGATCCCGGGGTCCTGGGATGGAGCCCTGTATCAGGCTTGCTGCTCAGTAAGGAGTCCGCTTCTCCCTCTCCCTCTGCTCCTCTCCCTGCTTGTGCTCTCTCTCACTCTCTGTCTCAAATAAATAAATAAAATCTTTAAAAAAACTAGTAAAGATATATGCCAAATTTTAAGATGAACTTTTTGAAAACTAAGAATATGAGGGGAATGTTCATGATGTACTATTAGTTGAAAAAAAGCACCATACAAAATAGGAACTACAGTACAGGCAAAATATTCAGACAAATTATATAGATCAATATATTCAGACTGAAGTGTTATAAATATACCAAATATAAAAAGATTTTTAAAATATATCTAAATGGTAGGGTGGGGGCACTTGGGTGGCTCAGTCAGTTAAGCATCTGCCTTCGGCTCAGGTCATGATCCCGGGGTCCTGGGATCGAGCTCCACATTGGGCTCCCTGCTCAGCGGGGAGTCTGCTTCTCCCCCTCCTTCCCACTCCTGCTCTCTCTCACTATCTCTGTCTCTCTCAAATAAATAAATATTTTTTAAAAAATAAAATAAATGGTAGGGTGATTATAGGTGTTCAGTACTGGGACACTTGGGTAAGCTCAGTCAGTTAAGCATCTGACTCTTGATTTTGGATCAGGTCATGATCTCAGGGTCTTGGGATTGAGCCTCACGTTGGGCTTCAAGCTCAGTGGGGAGTCTGAGGATTTCTCTTCCTCTGCCCCTCCCCTGTGCTTGCTCATGCACTCTCTCTCTCTCTCAAATAAATAAATAAATCTTTTAAGACACTTTTTCAG